AGTCATGCACAATTCAGTATTTCTCTGTGACTATGAGAGCACACGCTTAACTTCTTTTGTGACTCCCTTTCTGCCTGTATGACTGCCTTTTAACAAAGAAAATGGCAAAAGAGTCTGTGCCCAATAGTTGCATTCGGATCAGAAATTTCCTCCAAAACATCCTAAAAGTTACAAGAGACAGAATGATTGCCATGACTGAAAACTGGTACAATTAGAATGCTCCATTCCTGTGCTGAAGTGGAGTTAAAATGATCAGAAGTCCAGATTTTGTATCTGCAATGAAAAACCTCAAAATGTCTAACACACAGAAACTAAACAGTCACTACTAAGTTACCAGTATCACGAACCTTCTACCTTTTTCTCCTTCAGGCAACATGCAAAACCATAAAAGAGGTACTCAGCCTTTTTTCAAATTTACTACTATTCATTTTCTCTTCTGCAGATCATTTAAGGTAAGACACATTGCAAACATTTTTAAGAGATGCATAAAATGATAAAAGCCTACAAGAGTTTCAAGAAGCTCAGCCACCTCCTTCCCGCTACCACCACCCTCAGGAACCAACATGCATTCAACAATCTATCTCTTATTGTCTTAAATCTGGCTGTTTAAAACCAAAAAGCAGCTAATCCTGTCTGTCCAACAAACCATTCTTATGCTTTCTCATTTTTCAGTCATTACAACCCATGCTCAAATCTGAACTAGCTCTAACCAAAGCTAGATGCCCACTGAAGATGCTGCTGTGGAACACTGTCGTTTCTCCAGGAGCTTTCTCCAGCCATGCCATAGCTCCTGTTACTCCAGCAGTCCTGCCAGACGTTAGGAAGTCAGCCCCTTTCCTTGTCTTGCCTCACTAAGATACCTGCTTAGAAGCCTCTCAGCCAAATACTACAGAATCCAGCAGTAACATGAGAGAGTCTAAAACTTGCCAGAAAAATGAGTAAAATACAGCAGCAGCTATTCAACCCAAAGGCTAGTGAGGGATTTAAACCAAAGGAAAGGGTGAAATGCTGGGGTCTTAACAGTAACATAAGACACTTTTTAGTTACAGAAAAAAATCTGCACAATTCCTTGTGCCCTGGAAGTGTAAATGTTTTACCATTCCTTTGAGTAAAGTGCTTCAAATAATCTAAACAGAATGAAAATAATCCAAATAAAATTACTGCTTCAGAACCTGAGACTGATGGGATTTAAGGAGGTCATATTTCCATTAGAGATAAATAAACAGGCTGTGTAGCACAAAATACTTGCTTGTTGATATAAGCTTGAATGTTTATTCGGATAATTTAAGTCTGCTTTGAATATAACCCTCAGTTGAAAAAGTCTGGTATCACATTCTTCATAGGTTTAGGTGTCAACCACTTACTGCTAATGATGATGGTCTAATTGGATTGTTACATTTTCCTCTGGCCAAGTGAACTTCACTAGCAGAATGAAAAACAGCATCAAAGGAACGTCAAACTGCTGGCAACGGTTTTAAAATACTCATAACACAACAAGGAAGAACGCTCGTTTCTACGCCTTGCTCAGAGTGTAGTTTACTATGTATGGATTGAAAGTGGCTCTTGATTTTTGGTCTCTTGTCATAGTGTTCCAAGCTTTGGAAGGTTTTTATCAACAAAGCAAAAAATCCTTTCTGTGGATCTGGTGTTCAAATCTATACTGCTTTGAAGGAAGAAAGAAAACAAACAAACAAACAAAGGAGTATCTTACTCCCAATAACCAGCTGGAGTTTGAATTTATGCATCTGCAAAGACAAGGCATGTGCTAATTTCTATCTTTTTCAAGACAAAAATGATGCAGGCTCAATAAATGTATTTTTAAAGTTCGAAACAACTATAAAGTACTAACTGGACAGGACACAAGTCACCCTTCATTTCAAGTCTCTTAACACCTTACTCTTAAGAAAACCAGTTTGCTTCCCACCCAGCTATTAGTGAAATTTCATCTGTGCTATATTTGAAAATTCCACAGAAAATTTTACAGAACATTTAATTGTTTTCATTCAGTGACAAACTAAGAGTAGTTTTATTGTAGGGCACTTCTACACCTTGGTAAGTAGAAGCTATGGTCAACCTAAGGTCTGCAATCTGACTAACCTCAACAACTGTAGAGCTGAAGTTGCCAGATTCAGAAACACTCCTGATCACATCCTTACTCAATACCATCTTTTTCTAGTGGCCAAATACTGATTAAAAAGCTTCCTGACCCTGGGGAAGGCTCCCTGACTCTGCACTCCAAGAAGTACACAGCAGGCAGAGTGATTTTTACATACTCCAGTACAGCATGATCATCACAGAAACCAGAGCATCCAGTCGAACAAATCACTGCCGGCAGCATTTGAGGGGTTATGAGGGTTAGGAGCTAGAGTAAAGTTTAGGAAGAGCTGCCTTCCAAGCTCAGACACTTTGTTTATCTGAACTATCAGCTCTGTCCTTCTTTTGTGTACTAGGCAGACACCACATGCTTTTTCTCCTACACTGTGCTTGAATCTCTCTGGTATCGGTCAGCTGATAGTTGCTGAGATTAATTACACCATCAGCGATTATGGCTGTTTACAACCTTGTTGACAGGCTTCGGGATTTACTCTTATAAAAACACACTTTTCCAGGGTCAGCCTATTCATGTGTGCTTTGGCATTAGCTCCTTAGGGTAAAAACTGTCCTATTGTTATGCGTAGTGTGTCTGGCACAATGTCATCAGCCTGGAGGCTGAAAATACTTGCCTCTCTTTTTACTAACAGGAGAGGCACTGAACTACAGTAAAGCAAAGCCAAGCCCACAGTGGTGAAAAGCTATAGAAACATTTAAAAGGGAAAAGTTGACTGCAAAGTCTGGAGAGGTTTTGGTTTTATTTCTTTAAGGGAGGAGTTGGTGTAGGCCTGGAATTCAAATGTGAAAGAAAAATTGTGACTGGAAGTGCTGGAAATGTGGGAGCCGATTGGTAAGAGAAAGTGATTACTGAGTTGCTTTACTTCATAGGATTCCTCTTTTACAAATTATTTCCTTCTACTGTGCCAAAGCGTTCCCTTAAGACAGAACTTTCAAAAAGAGGAGTAAAATCTATGGGAAAAGGATAGAGACTTCTACTTCCAAATGCCCAGTCTTTTTTGTCATCTTCTTTATTTCCTCCTCTTGAAATCCTTTTCACCAGTATTTCTATCTAACCCTAGAAATAGGATGAAAATCCTGTCTAATCTCCACTACAGGTCCTTCCAACACCAACACACACCACCAGCTTCCTAAAACCAGGAATGGAAGCAGGGTGGAAAAATCACACAGGTGATTAATTCACAAGTCTGTTATGAATACAGGCCTTGCAGCTAAGACACATCTAATCACCTCAGCTTCTCTTTAAATACTGAGCAGTCTAAATCAGTCTGGCTTGTCTATTCAGTGAGTGTGTTTTCCTTTATAGGGGCAGCTAGCACAATGTGGAAGAGCACAACCTTTAACTTGGGAGTTTTGCAAGAATAACTGGTAAGATACCATAAGAGAGTCACAGGATCAGAGCTTTTCCTGACTGAGCTAGTTCTGAATGCCTTGCAGCAAACCAACTAGTATGAAAGAGGAGAGAATACTCACATTTGTACAGTGGTCAGAAATTGTCCTGGGAAACAAGAAGAAGTAAGAACTGAAGTTATTTCTTTGCTAAGTCAAAGCCATCGCTCCAGCCACCATTTCCAGAAACTATTAGCAATGAAATTTAAGAAAAAAAGCTTGAACGTTCATGTCAAATGATACATCTTTAATTTCTAAAAGGTGATAAGTACTAAGAAACTGATCTACTTGACAGGCAATTAATCCTCCTTGCATAGTACATTTATCTCCATGGGATATCAAGAGTTACAACACTTCAGGAAAACTGGCACCTAAGTGAGCAAGCAGCCTCAATCCTGTACAGAAGTTACAGACAACCTCAGCGTTTCCAAGTTGCACCTGGGGATGGATCCAGAGCATAGTCTTTGCTTTGTCCACATCTATCCCACAATGCCATGCTCTTTCACTGCGCTTTTCAGTTGGCCACCTACATGAAAAACACAAAAGGCTGCAACCCACACTGATACAGAAATTCACAATAAATTACCTTAATTCTATTCAACTTCGGCCTTTTTGAGGTCAGATGCCTCAAGGTACGTAGTTACGGACTTTTTATGTAAAATTTGTACCTCACAATACTTATAAATTGATTACTTGATTAACACTTCATCCAGAAGATGTTTAATCCTTCCTTTGAGAAGGTAAAAGGTAAGGCTTCAGTTTCAGAAGTGCTCTTGACACTCATCGAAAATAAGCACTGAATCTTGCATGAAGCCAAAAAATTTAAACTTGCTTAACAAGCTTATTAACAAGACAAGAGTAAAGACGCTTCTTCATATAAAAAAATTTACAGTTACATTTCAGTGTGTGTGTTAGACATATCTACAACAAACGTTCTACCTTTACAGAATGATGGGTGGAGAGGAGTGTTGTACTTACATCATCATTAATTAAGTCCTTTTTTCTAGCAAGTTGTGTCTGATTTTCAAAAGCATTGATTATCAGCATATCCTAGGTACTGAGCAGTAGCAGCAGGCACTCAGAACTGTTGAAAATAGACTATTAGTAGTCGTACTTATGCCGCAGATGCACCATTTGAAATATTCCTCTTGAAAACAGATAGTTTACTTTCTAGTCAAAATCAGTTGACGAATTACTATTTTAATCATTCTTGTAGTGTCCTAGAATGCTTCAAATGTAACTATTAACACTAATTACTTAATACATTATAGTGGATTATGATCAAAATTAATATGTCAAAATTTTAAGTTTATGATAAATAAACTTTGGAAAAATTTATACAAGGCCGTAAATAAATAATTTGAACTTCAGTCTCATTAAAAAGGAAAACGGTACGTCACACGACAACATCATCCTATCTAGACAATACAATCTGGCTATATTTTATTGCATAATAATTTGAGAGTAACATCTTAAGTAAAATATGTAAAGAAACAAAATCATTAGATTTACTTCCTTTAATATTGAACAACCAAAGTTTCTCCTTTGTACATAATCCAATTTAAAGATAATATAATTAGCACTTCCAGCAATAACAGTCTGTATTTACAATGAACGAGATGGGGTGGATAACCTAAAGAGTATTCAAATCTGTATGAAACTAATCAAATTACGAAGATTTACAGTAGGCTCAAAATCCAAGACTTTTCCATTTATGGAACGCGATTTAAAAGGCTTTGTCATCTTTTTACTTGTAAAGGTTCCTGAAATGATGATTTTTAATGGTATTTTAAACATCTGAAATCTTCAGTAATGCTTTCATTATTTGTATACAACATTAAAAATTGATTCCAATGCTTCTATTTCATATTTCATTTGCTTGTAGACCAGTCTGAAATCTGATGAGAGGATAACAAGGAAATTTACTACATAATCCTAATTCCATATTCCTGAATATACAACGGTTGGAAGTAGAAGATGTCAGTCCATTCCAAGGGTTATGTACACAAAACTTGCAAAATGTTCTTCACTCTTGCATAAAACGTGTACCCAGTATCAGTGAGCGGAGAACTTCAAAGTTTTCATGGGTTGCTGCTGGCATGGACCTTTGTTGATTGAAAATAAAATACCTTTCACTCTATTGTTCTAGTAGCAGTTTCAGAAGTTAATCATCAATCCCTGGTGTTTCTCCCTGCTGTATCCTGGAGGCTATTCTAATGGCTTCTTCCAGAGACTGTTGTTCTCCAAGCTGAAACAAATGCATTTAAACATAAAGAAATCCAAAATGTTACATATGGGTAAGTGTAATAAAAAACTAAAATTAAACCAAAGCCCTAGACATGGATCAATACTTTAGCCCAAATAAGTGTGATCAGTATTATCACACTTCTTCTGGGTAGTATATACTAGCAGCTATCTAATCAGCATGACAATTAAGATAGCTTCTGATAGCAGATTAAACTGAGTTTCTATGTGTCTGCCAAATACATGTTCTTCAAAGAACTGTTAAACAGTAAACACATTTCATGACACACAAAGTAGATGATATTTCTACCTGGTGGATACATCAAAGCTAAGATAGGGCTTTCAAAAGTAATTCAGCAGCCACCATTACATTTTAACACTGGTAAAGTAAACAAACATCTTCATTTTTCTTAACTCTCTTGCAGAAAGTCAGCTCTCTGGAACACCATATGACATTAATATATATAAAAAGTGTACATTTATTGCAGAATCCTGACTGCACAAAAAAGCAGTCATGATGACAACTGTTCGATTCTATAGTAGTTTAGAGAGGAAATAATCGTAGTTGCAACTACAGGACCATCCCTGTATCTGGCACTATCAGAGCCAACATCAAAATCAACCCTGAATAAAGACAGCTGGACACAATTTTGGGAGAGAACACGAAGTTTTGCAGTATGTACACCATGCACGTACATCCACTGATGGGAACACTGAAGACAACCTCAACCTAACAAAACCATAAAGCTGGCCATTACCTATCAGCTTGGTGGAAAGATGTATGACAGTGTGAAAAGTAAAACCAGATTATCTGACAGATTAAAATTAAAACCAGATTATTTGACCTAATAGTTCTAAATATCACTTGTAACTTGTTTTTATAGTCACTGGTTATCACATTCTGGAGCCACTCAAGAAGAACTCTGTTACCACCTCCTTAGAACTTCAATCTGGCTGTTAGGCTACTGGCTTTATCAGTATTTGGAAACCAAATGGATTCATTCATTGCTATCAAAGCACAAAAGAGAAACAAGAACTCAGTAATAATGAATCATATGATAATTTCTAATTCTCTCTCTTCTCTTTGCATTGTATATTTTAAGCTTAATTAAGATACTTCACCAAAAGCTTCACTGCTGCTAAGAAAAGGAGGGGCATGTGCAGAAAGCACCCGCATTTTCCTTTCATTCAAAGGACACACTGCTGAGGGTGCAAATTACTTTCTTTTCCTCCTCTCATGCCTTCTGATATGACTTCTCTTACGTGCAGTTTCAACTACTGCCAACCTAGCTCAAAAGACAGTTCAAAATTAAGAGCTTCTTGACTCTCATTGCTCTTTACTCAGCACCTGACTTGCTACTTTCCATTTAACAAAGGCGAAAATAAAAATTGCTCATTTCACACTTCCTTTCAGCCTGAGCTCTTAAGAGAGCAGCGTGCATGCATACACTTAGACTGCAGCATTAATCCTGAGACTCAAACGCTCAGAGGTTTTTATCTCATATTAGTTTCAGCAAATTGGAAGAACCCAGGCTTAAGCTGCTGTTACTTCCACATGTACAGTATATTTTACCCCCAGAAATTAAATTTGTGAGTGCATTTCCTGCATTTCCAAGAACCTTCCAAGAACACATATTAACTTAACATGTTTAATACTGATTTGTTTAGAAACTCTCGAGCACCTCCTCTCTGCATAGCCACATTGATGTTCTTTACATATTGGTATTTGTCCAAGCCAAGGCCCATCATGCGAACCATGCTCAAGACAGTTGCATATACTTGACTCCCTTTGAAACTCATAGGGTGTATCACATCCATGAAAATTATCCTCCTGCTAATTGTACACTGTTTCAGGATGTATGGTTCCTGTGATTTTCCATGTTCTCTGGAACAAAATGTGTGTCTGTGGTGTACCCAGACAACAACAGGATCAAACCCACAAAGTGCTGAGTCCCAATTCCACAGTAAATTTGAACACAAAAGTAGCTTCATTACATTCCCACTGTACTTCTTATTTATGCACATAGTTAAGCCCAGAATCAAGAGGGCTGTGAGGTGGACCAAAAGTATTAGGCACTTTGCAGGACTGATACTACCATGCAACCCAAAATCTAAACAAATTCAACTCCTTTTATTTTACTTTGAGTTTAAAATTGGCTTCTGTCATTGAAGAGACAATTTCCCTAAGATCCTTTAGTCGTTTATTTGACCCTTGACTGCAACGTCATTTAAAAGAGGTGAATTTTTAAAATACTACATCTTCCAGATTTAAAATTTCCAAAAGCTTCTATTAACCTACCATCATATCATATGTAACAAAACCAAAATATACACATAGTTAATTTAAAGTTTGAGTAAGGCAGCATCCTGGCCACTGTTTGTGCTAGCAGTTTTGTTCAACATTCTGGTCAAGGCAAGCTTCCCTCTGAGTAAAACTATTCATGAAAATACTCATCTAGATTTTGTTTGCAGTTACTCTCCAGATAAAAGCTTTATTTCTGCTTGCTTTCCACCTTCTTTTAAAATAGTTGAATTTAATTTAAATGCTTTAACACCTAGGAATTACTCTTTGGCTCAAGTATCAGAAGTATCAGCTCTGTATGTTATGCTGAAGGATGAATGACAGCACTTTTCCGCTGAAAACCCATGACTCCATGCATGACTAAGTTGACCTGAAGTTTGGCCCTCCCCTAACCTCCCCTTTTTTTGAAAGTTCTACAAGTAGATCTGGAAAATCAGGTTCTTATTGTTCCTCTTCCTAACCCTATATGTTATTTAAAATACCAGATCATATGGATATGGGCCATATTTTCAGGGGAGCCAAGCTTATTTGAATCATTTTGTTACGTGACTAGGAGCTTCTAGCTCTGGAAGTAAGAAACACTCCAAAAAAACATTTATCACTGTATTACCTGTACTGCAATTTGTGTTCCATTGGACGTAGCCAACAACGTAACAGGTCTAGTTTCTGTAGTCACTAAATGGTGCCCATGTTGCTGATGTCCCAGTTCTGATGATGCACTGTGAAATGCTGCTAAGTCTTGAGCCACAATAGCAACCTTCAAGACCAAAGAAGAGAATCAACTGGATGACAGATCTACGACTATTACTGACCTCATACAGCAACATTTATCTTCAAAGTTAAAGTTAAATTTAAAGCTAGGATTACTCACGAGCACGATTTTATTGTACAAAACATACATTTTTAAAGAAAGGTTGCCAGCACTGCGTTCTCAAAGTTATCTGTTAGCCCTCAAAGTACCGATTTCCTCAGAACTGCACAGTTCAATAAATGTGCTTATAAGCCTGTGATTATTTATATAGACAGAGCACGGTGATTAATAAATATCTTCACTGTCATGTGGCGCGTCTTCAGAACAGTGGGATGCATTTTAACTTAAAGATTAAAAACTGTATCACTGTATTTCTACTAAAAATGTTAGCTATTTTATTTATATATTAAAAACAAAACTGCAAATATATACTTATACATAAATGTTTCCCATCTGCCAAGTATATTACAGTCCCATAATATTAAGTGATAAAGTTACAGTTCATACTGGATTATATTCTTAGCTCTGCCACTCATTTACTATGTGACTTTGAGGAAAACACTTAGCATTTCTAGGTCTTATTTTACATGCACTTAAATAAATTACCAGACTGGCACCTCAGAATGTTTTCTTTGTGCCCAATTGTTTTTAAAGCATTCTGCCATACGTTCAGGTACAGCACTGCAGTAGAATACACCTCTTAAGAGGGGGATGCTATGGTCAAGTGTTGAAAACAGCTTTACTTAGATAGAGCTACATGAATGACAGAACTATGATGGCTTAGGTGCCTATTTTATATCATCTTATAAAGGAACATTACACATGTGTGCAGGATAATATCTTACCTGCTGTCCTTCAGTGCCTTCTGCAGTAACCATCGCTACCGAATGTGTTCCTGCCGAAGAGATGACGGCGTCGTGGGCAGGGACTGTGATGGTGGTGCCATCTTGTGTTACCATAGTGATAGTATTGCCAATGGCCTGCATATCTGCCTGGGAGATATTGACCTGAAACACAAAATTAATCCCTGAAGTAAAAAGAAAAAAAAAGAAAAAAAAGGGTATGATTGCTGCTCAAGTCATACCCGAGTCTTAGCTTCTGGCAGCATAACCTATGTTCTTAAGTCAGGTTTGAAACAAAACGATGATACGCACTTGAAGTGTAACAGTATTTATCAAACAAATTCTTACTCATTAGTCCAGCAGGA